ATATATATAATATCTTTTATATAACATATTTAAACTAAATTATATATTAAATGTATAAATAAATTATAAATATTTGGTTTGAAATAAAGCAGTATCAAAATTGAATTGCTTAATTATTGCCCTAAAGACATATAGAAATGTTTTTGTGTCATTTCTGGAAAACCCAATTAAAGTTTCCGCATATAAATATAATGACGCGTAATATTAATGAATGCGAAACATAATGCGAACCTGAGATAAACTAGAAAAGGCAGGTAACAGTTGGCGATATCGCTGTTGCGATCGCAAGTCTCGCAGGCATCGGCAGTGTCGTACGTCGCACGGTGTCGCCGATAAGGAGGCGCGATATCAACAGGTCCGTCCGATACGCATCACGTCACGTCATCGTCGCGAACAAAGCGAGTACGCGCGAGTGTCCTTACTCCATTACGCGTATATCTTCGATATACTACGCATATTTATCTGCCAGGTCCAGAAGGTGAGACGCAGTTTCCTCTTGAAGGTCTCTCCTTGAAAATTCCACTACTACTCTGAAGTACACCGGTTACTGTGGCACCGCTCCTCACCAATACGCGCGAAGAATCTCGCGCGGCACCGCCGCTTCACCGTCCGCTCGTCGAGCCGCTGCGTCGAGGGAACGCATATCTAGGCACATTCGCACGATCCTGGAAAACGCGATCCTGCTAAAGCGTAAACAGACGCGAGAGAAACTCTTTCTCGCGCGCGTCGTCTCGCGACACTGGTGAAACCGCCGGGGCGCACCGGAGTGACGTTAGCGTCGGGCGTGCTCGGAAGTAGTCGCAGCAACTGTCACCGCGATTCGTCGTTCGTCTGATACGCGCGATGCACGATACACTCACGCACTACGTCACTATCTCGAAAACGCACAGGCGCGCGATTATTATAACGCGCGCAAGCGTAAGCACACACGCGAGATCACGAAGCTAGCGAATACTTGCTGCTGCGTATTTGTGTATAAGTCGCGAACAGTACGCTGACAAATGAACTACGAATTCGATCTTGGAGATCCCATGCGGTGAAAATGCGAAGCTTCGACGTCAGGGCTATCAACGTCGAGAAATTTATTTCCCATCTCTACATATGTAGATCACTAATCTCTATACATAACTATTTACGCAAGCGCAAAACGTCATATTGTAAACACAAACCACAACTTCGAGCTTCAATTGGTCGCAGTTTTTTCTCCCTATTCCATATCTAATTACCCCATATCTAATTATAGAAATGTAGTAATAGGTGATAACGATATTCGCAAGCGAAGCCTAACTATCCATACAGATAAGAAGAAGAAGTGATAACGATATAGAAATAAAACTATTGAATTCATTACTAAAAAAAGATATCGAAGTTACTTTTTTATATAAATAATATGCCTAATTCTGAAATTCATGTAATTATGAGACATCGACAAGAGAATTAATGAACTAATTTAGTTAATTAGTTTTAGTGTATTAATTATCTGTAAAATTCATTAAAAAATTTCTAAATTAATGTTCTCAAAACTAAAAAGAAAATTTGATGATTAATTCAAAAGTAAAATTTGGTAATTAATTCTCTCATTAATATATTAATTGATTAATTAGGTGAGATAATAAATTATTGTTACTGAGAAAATTTCGTCAGGATAATTCTATCAGATTCAAACGACGTGTCATACCCGCGAAATATATATATATATGGCTGCGGTCCGAAACAAGCTTACAGCGCTAACAGCATGTTCACAGCCGGTCCGATTCACGCTCGCAGTGTTCTAATGAACAAAGTGACGTCATAGATACGTGACGTTTCAGCGCTCACGGTGCCCCTGGTTGGAAGGTAGGTCACCATGAGCATCCTAGTTACGTGACGTCAGAAATGCGCGGAAAAGCAACGATTAGAAAAGGAGGAAGAACATTAGTATATTCAACATAATTCTCGACGCGAGGTCTATTATGTATTTTATCTCTTCTTTCATTTAAATATAAATTTATAATTTCTACAAAATTTCTTGTTTCGTCCTCTTCACTATCGCTACTTAAAGATGTATTCATTATAAATTCTAAATCACTATCATCGCTTTCGCAATAAAATTCCAAACATTGCAACAATATACTTTTCTGCTCTTTATTCTCCATTTCAACGATAAATAAGATGAATATTAAACATATAATTAAATTAATAAGATTTGAAAACTTCCAAGCATATTGTAAAAAACAAATATTATAGAATTTTAGGTTATACAGCACGTGAGTAAGCTTACAATTGGTCCGAAACAAAAGTACTTATAGCGTGATATTTGAATCGGACCGGCCATGAGCGCCTTAAACGTCGTGAGCGCTGTAAGCTTGTTTCGGACCGCAGCCTATATATATATATATACATAAATACTACGTGAATCATGCGAGTATCGAGCCACGGTATCGAATATAAGCATACGTGTTTCACTTCCGCTTCCGCAGATGGTTAGGTTTCGCCATTTGGATCGTGACCATTGTTAAGGTTAAGGGCCAAAAGATCATCGTCGTTCACGACGAAAGGGGAGGCCGACTGCTCCCTGAAGACGAGCTTCACGCTCACCGACGTTCGCGTTTTCATCCCCGTACAGCTCCGTATCGACTTGTCGGCACGTCGGCATATCGAGACACTTTTTATCACTTTGGCACTGACGAAACATGGCTTATTGAAGAAGATGACGGGCATGCGAAAAGATATCATTTCTCCGAGGAGAGGAGACGGAGGAGACCGCAGCTGCGACGAGACGAGTCACCAGACTGGCTATAATCGATTCACAAATGGATGTAAAGACGAAACTTACGCCGTCCTCTGCCGAGGGGACTGCTACTGATGCGAGAGAGAACCAAGGTACATCCACCTCAAGGTCATCGCGCAATGGTCTTTATTAAAAAGTCACAACAAATTGTTATCGTCGTTGTTTGCTTCGCAAAATATTGACCCTTATGTTGCAATTCTTTCAGATGTTAACAATGAACTCTATCTGGGAACATTGCGCAAAAGAGAACCTACTGGCGCCAGTAAATTTGCTAAAAATGAAACCAAAAATGAACCAACAAAGTACAATGTACAGAAAGCAAAAGATTTTGTTAAGAGACAGAGACCTAAAGGACAACATCATGGCGGTGCAGAGAAGAATTCCAAGGTTGATTTGCATATATGGAATATGCTTCTATCTTTTTTTTAAATTTAATTGTCAGATTTCATATTGTATGTATATATATATATATATCCAAAAATAATATGTAATGGCTTATTGTTAGTACAAGACAAATTTCATGCTAGAAACCCAGGTTTTTGATGTATATTCACAGGTAGTGGAAAACAAGCTACCTGAGTATGACTCAGTATTGGTCCAAGGAAGAAAAAAAAATGGCAATTATTTGCTGAATTTTCACTACGCACGAAATATAACGCGAGATGCACAAAGCAGGGATGTAGGAAGACATAGTTTCAACAATGATAGATTGCTTCCACCAGTGCAGCGACATAAGTACAACAAAGAACAATTTATACAAGCTAGGTAATAATCCTATTACTATTTCTAGTTAATGGCACAAAACAATTCTGTTCATACTGCCAAAGATTGAGTTTGTTATTGGGTAGGAGTTGGATGCATTGTGCGCAAATCAAGTCTGATAAGGAGGTAGTATATAGTTACATTATAGTTAGATGAGTATATTGTTTTTATGCAGAAATAAGCAGATGAATGACTTAGAGTGAAGACTGTATATGTGTTGTGTACTGTTCTGATGAGTGTGTGCAGTGTATTGAACTCGGGAACCTGGGGGATCGTTAATCCCCAGCAACTGTGCACAACAGTCACACCCTGCAGAAAAGTAATAATTCTGTCAATACGAGCAAGGCAGTCTCCTTACTCGGGTATCCATCCATTACCCAAAACCACAGATATATTAACTGATTATTTCAATTATTATTCAGATATATTTAGCTTATCTATGCAAAACAAAAAAATATCTCATATGATAATATTGCACATTAGAATCATATAAAATTTTGTATCCACAAAATTTTCAAAAATTCAGTTATTTGATTTCCTAATTTATTTCAAAGTAAATTTGTGCTAGAAAACCTGAGTACTTGAATTCGAGTATTAACAATATCATATTAATATATTGTAAATAGCGTATTGTTTATATGCCTATTATATCAGATAATAATGTGTACAAATTATATGAAAATAATTCTGAAAATCTGTACATTAAATATGTATACATTATCTCTATCTTTACATATATTGATAGCTGCCAGTTTGTTGTAACTGCAAGCGGAGATTATTCCTTATATTTGACCAACGCTGATATTCTTGTGGATTGGAAATTGATTGAGCAAATTGTAAGTTGTTTCCACTATAACTCACTAATCTTGTTATAGTGAAAAATTTGTTGCAAAATTTTCTTACATATATATATCATTACTGATGTATATTAATTGAGTCTAATTTAAAATGGTTGATCTATTTCCAGAAATTACACAATTCAGAAAATCTTTGTTGCCCTATTTGTTTACATGCACCAGTCGCAGGCAAAATGACTCGCTGTGGTCATGTCTATTGCTGGCCCTGTATTCTTCGTTACTTACGTTATTGTCAAGAAACAGGCAATTACAAATGTCCCATTTGTGATGAATATCTTCATAAAGATGACTTAAAAAGGTAATTGTATAGAATTATCATTACTGTGTATTATAATACACGTGATATTGAAATGTTTTTGAAAATATTCAAAGTATATATATCGGATGTACACACACATATATATATATATATATATATATATATCTTAGTGTGGTCGAGATTACGCGAAATACATACAACTTGGGTGATACAATCAATTTACGTTTGATGCGACGCGAAAAGACTTCACTATTTGCGACACCTATGGAACCTATGATTCATCCACCAACAACATTTCTATCCGTTTCGAAAAGTGCTGCTAATCAGATATATTCAAAACTTCTTATTGCAAATGTAAAAGATGTAAGTTGATAAAAACTCTCAATGCTCTTAAATGCAAGAGTGATATGCAAATGATAATAATTATCTTCAGATTATGGACATCATAGAGCGCGAGCGTTCTGAATTAGAACTTGAACTTAAGGATAATCCAGATATGGCTTTTGACATCGACCAAGCACTCGGCGAATTATTGAAAAGGAAAGAAAAGTTATGGAAGGTAACAGTAACATAACTGTATATAATTATATCATACATATCTCATGGAATAATAAAAAATAGTTATGCAATATAAGGATACAGAGTCTAAAGATGCTCTATCCATGGAAAATACAATAAAAAAAGACATTACTGAGGAAACACCACACGGAAATGAAATAAATGCCAACAAATGTTGCAAAGAGGATGTTACGCCTTTAGAAAAACAATCTTCAATAGATAGTGTTTCCAGTGATAGCCAATCTGTTTCAAATCCTCCCAAATTTTTATACTTTTATCAAGGTAAATTATTGCATAAATTCTTAGATATGTTATAGTTAAGAATTGACAATTTAAGACATTTCAAATTACATGATGCCTAATATGTCAGAGATAAGATTAATGCTACATTTATTAATTAATTTCTAGCTGAGGATGGACAGCACTTATATCTTGATAGGTTGAATGTGAGCATGTTGAAAAAGCAATATGGTAGTCTGGAGTATTGCCCACCTGTTATAATGGGTAAACTTCTCGAGAAGCAAGCAAGCATCTGCACGGCTAATTTGAGGAAGAAATTACCATGTCTTTCTCACTTACCACTTACTTGTCTATTCGAATCAGTTGAGATCGAATTAAAACCGCCACTCGTATCGGAGGAAGTTCTTTGTAATTTCCATGGTAACTATTCACATCATCTATTATAAAATTTACTTCTCCAAATATATTGTCTTATTATTATTATTATATTGATTTTATATCGGTAGAGCAATTGAATTCGAGACAGAAAAACAGAGAACAGAAGAAACGCGAAGAAAATAAAAGGGAGAAAAAAATAATAGAAGTTGAGAATAGACTGATTGGCATCTATCCAACGCCTAACATTGACATCGAATCGCATCAACATTTTCCTCAATTGCAAGCAGAACTACAATTTTCCAAGTGAGTGCAATAATCTCATCTTCATTAATATCGCCTTCATTAATATTGCCTTCATTAATATTGCCTTCATTAATATTGCCTTCATTAATATTTTCTACATACATAAATGCTTTGTATCTATGCAAGTTGTAATGTCTAGTGATGTAGAAATATCATTTGATTTATTTTGCTTTGTGACATAGCGAGCATGTACTGTCGCTCTCAGAATCGGCAACTTCGAGTATCGCTAGTAGTCCACCTTTGAGCGCGTTCGATGAAATTCCCAAACAAGAAACGGACCATTCATCGCATGGACAGATCCGAACATTTGCCGATATAACCAAAAAGTTATCGTCAACAATACCAATAAAGACGTGTAACAAATCTACCAATGCTTGGCCGTCTGTAAAATCGAGAAAATACAACGTCAGTACAACGTCATCCACCAAGAACGAAGAAGTATCAGGGAAAGAAGCAACAAAGACACATGATAAGTCTGCCAATGCTTGGCATGTAAAATCGAAAACATATTCTGGTACAAGTTCTTCTTCTAATGAAGATGAAAAAAAACCATATGTTTCTGAACGTAAGTCGCGCTACTTTGGCTACATATCGAAAAACCAATGACTGAATTATCAGACTCAAGAGTATATGATTATATGTAGTACAGAATCGATTAAAATTTTTTCCTATCTCTCAACTTAATCGTTGTCGTTTTCAGAAGCGAAGGACGAGGGTAGCGCAGCTGGCAAGAAGAAGAAGAAAAAGAAGAGTAAAGGAACTGTACTGTTAACGACTGGCATGACATCCGGTTATTCTTTGTAATTACCTATACAATCGCATATGATATTTTTTGCGTGCTAATTTTTTGCTATATAATGGTAATTGGTAACTTTATTGGATCAATTGTAGAACATTTTTAATTTCGTTACAGTTCTTGTGTGCTACAATTATTTGATATCGTAGGGCATACATATTGAATGTCTTTATTTCTGTACTGAAAATTATTGTAATTCTTTACCATATAAACAACAATTATTTAATGATACACGTGCATCTGTTTGTTGTCTCCGTCGTCGTCACTGTAAACGAAACAAGACTTGCATCGCGCGTGCTCCGAAATATCAGAAAACTCGAATCCAGCTGCTAAGTAGCCAACTACCTCGCTGCATCTCTTCCCCGCTTTTCCTTTCCGTGCTCTAACTAAAATTCTCATTAATTCGCACGAATCGGGAAAGAAACGCGCGCGAGGTGATCCGATAAAAGATTGGTATACATCTACAAACGGAACCGCGAATGCGAACGTCTTTTGAAACGTTTTGAACGTGTTTCTCGCACGAATTGTCTTTGATGTACCGCCTCATGAGGAAATCGAGCCGAATGCGAATCGAACGTTCTGTTCGCATTCGCTTTGGCGTATATATCTGCTGAATGATAACAATAACAACGTACGTTCGCATTCGCTGTTCGTTCGCTAAGTCAAATACTGTAGATAATAATACGTCCAACTCTTGAAAAATCCTTTGTCTTGCAAGGCAACCACTGAAACAGCGCCATCTATTAATCTGAGGTGATAAACTCTTGCTTGATAGAGTGTTACTGGCTGGGTAACAATGTAAATGATAAATAAAAATACGTATATAATTGTGAGATATTTTCTTTAATTTAACATTTTTTGTCATAATTAACCTTTTCTTCTTACTATCATTAATTTTATTAACATAGGCTTTTAATAAAACGTTAAAATATTTGTCTAAAAATATTTTATAACAATCGTTACATATACACATATTTTCCTTAATATTACAATTTGATATTAATTTTGCTTTAACATTTGATGTACTTTCGTTAACATTTCCAGATTCCACACGATGCAAACGATCAGCTTTCATTAATATAATCACGAACCACTTAAATACGAGACAAGCGTTCTCCTCTACTAAAAAAATACTAACAACTCAGGCCGCGTGGTAGCGCTAGTGCGCTGTATTGCCTGTTTTTAATCGAAGTTGGACGTATTATTATCTACAGTATTTGGCTAAGTGTATACCCATCTTAACTTGCATGATCGGACACGTGGAGCAGTGACGTCATTCACGCATGCGCAAAAGGTTCTATCCGTGGAATATTTCCCATGATCTTTCCTGGGTGCGTTCAAGAGATACAACCGTTAAGTAGCAATTGAACATGGTTGGTTCATAGAGCCCGAGCACCGACTTTTGCATAAGCGCATAACCATAAAGCCTATCGCTAATATTTACAGAGTTCTTTAAGGCCGGTATTCATAGTCAGTTCTTATTTCAAGACCGTCTTAAGTAATGTCTTAAGATGCTAATACGGCTCTGTGATTGGTTTAGGACATCTTAAGATTGTGCTTAAGACGGTCTTAGGCCGGTATTCATAGTCAGTTCTTATTTCAAGACCGTCTTAAGTAATGTCTTAAGATGCTAATACGGCTCTGTGATTGGTTTAGGACATCTTAAGATTGTGCTTAAGACGGTCTTAAATATAAGAACTGACTATGAATACCGGCCTAAATCTTCACGCATAAGCATATGTCTGGAATGTCAAAAAATATATATGGGGCGGTGCGTAGCGCCGGACGTATAGAGTCGCAGGCTGGTAATCGAGAGAGATTCAAGGTTCGATTCCGCTCGGGTCCCCCCATCCTTTTCCATATGACTCAAAAAGAAGTTTTCACACATTATTCTATATATAATGCCCCTAGTTTATCATATATTATCCTATCGATGTGATATTATAAAATGGACGACAAAATAATCGAAGAACAGATGAAAAAGATGTTGACCAAGATATTCAAATATGTTTTATTAGTGTAATTTATATAACACAGCCTCATTAGTGAAGAATCGTTTAGCTTTCTTTTTTTCTATCTTTCGACTTTCTTTTCAGTTTTCGAAGTAACGAAAACGTTTTGGTATCTCTTGTTCTTGCTAGTCAAACAGTTAAGAAATCCGTAAACTATAGACCAGACCATAATAGTAATAATACACCATATATAATAGCGTAATTCCTTTATTCTTATAGAACTGTATTACCAAAACTACCCAAACTGAGAAAAAAATAGACAAAAGAGAAAAAAAAATCAAACAATAAGAATTTTTCTCTGACAGCTATAAAATTGAAAATTGATTTTACAATCATTTAAATTATCTTTATTCCGCTTTTAATCATCAATTTCAACTTTCAAAAAAAAATAAACGTTAATTTGAAAAACAAAAAAAAATTTACACGTTTAGAATTAAAATATATTTCTATATTTCACATACCTTTGATAGTTAATTATAAAAGTGTATTTTTCAAAATCTATTCCTGATTTCTCGAAGATTAGATACTAATTCATGAAAAGGGATTCTCTCCAATTCTTTTTATCATAAAATGCTTCCGCGATTTACAATATCAATATTTCAGATAAAAATTATTTATAATAAATATTACATAAATTAAAATAACAAATAACTAAAATAACAAATTATATTGATTGATAAATAAATTTACAAGCAAAACAATTTATTATGTCAGTCTAAAACTTGAAAACTTTGGTACTTTATATAAATCTTCAGTTGCCAATTACGAAGATTAAAGCCCGTATCAGACTACGCATTGAAGATTGAAATTTGACCAATCAGGATAAAGAAATTTTAGTTCCTTTTGTTCTGATTAGTCAAATTTCAATCTTTAATCTTCAATTTTCAATGCGTAGTCTGATACGGGCTTAAGGCCGTGTTCCGATATTCACTATCAGTATTGAAAATCTATAGCATATGTGACGTAAACTATAGATTTTCAGTACCGGCAGTGAATATCGGAACACGGCCTAAATATCCCATTTCACAGAGACGAATTTCTTTCAATTCATTTTAATTCGTCCATCTTTTATCGGATCACCTCGCGCGCGTTTCTTTCCCGACTCGTGCGAATTAATGAGAATTTTCACCGTAGAGCACGGAAAGGAAAAGCGGGGAAGAGATGCAGCGAGGTAGTTGGCTACTTAGCAGCTGGATTCGAGTTCACTGATATTTCGGAGCACGCGCGATGCGAGTCTTGTTTCGTTTACAGTGACGACGACGGAGACAACAAACAGATGCACGTGTATCATTAAATAATTGTTGTTTATATGGTAAAGAATTACAATAATTTTCAGTACAGAAATAAAGACATTCAATACGTATGCCCTACGATATCAAATATTGGTAGCACACAAGAACTGTAACGAAATTAAAAATTGTCTACAATTGAGCCAATAAAGTAATTACTTTAGAATGACACCTCAATTATTTCAAAAAGGATTAGTTTTAAAAATTTTTAATTCAAAATGGAATTTTTGAGAGATACGCTCAAATACGTCTGCATCCGACCACGGCCGTTTGTCGACTTCTAGACTAGGGTTCTCGCATATTGTGCTTACAAATAAAATTTTACTTCATTTACGCTGTTAGTATTTGAATGAGTTAAAGAATCTCTCCGAGATCTCTCTTCCTCTCTTCAAGGCCTAAAATGTATACTCATTTTAGGTATAAGAAAATACATGCGAATAAAACAATTTGCAATTATTATTTACGTTAACTTACTAAATTTGTGCTAAACAAACGTTGTATAAGCGATGATGAAATTGTAATCGCATCACGGATTTTTCACTTATCAAACGATTTTTCTATTTTATTCAAATAATGCATAATGATGCTCTTTTTTGTGTGTAGTCTCGTTCTCTGATAAAATAATTTACAAATATATATATAAAGCTAATATATTACAAATATATATATTGCTAATAATCAGTTGAATATATTTCTTTTTTTTCTATTTAAATTTCTTTTTCTTTTTAATAAAATTTTGTTCTATATTCTCTCTACCTTTCAACATTTTTTACAGCATAATATTCAGAAAATAAAATTTGTTGTGTTTATGAATCTATTTTTTTATTCAAGTATTTGTTATATTTTTTATCTAATATCGCTAAGAATATTATAAATTATAAATGGCAATTCACAAATATTAAAGTTTACGTAGTAAGACGGTCAAATTATTCTTGCGGGCGCCAATCTCACACTGATAGTTTGGAAAATCTTCGCAAAACTACGCACACGCAAAAGAGCTTACGATAGAATAGAACTTGCTCAAAAAATTTTGTATTAAGGGATTTTCATCTGCAAATTACGGAATCTTCAATCGAAATTATTTCTATTTACTTTCTGAAGTGCACACAATGTGCATTAAAAGTTTGTGATAAGTACTTACGGTAAAAAAAGGTTCATCATGGATAATATCTAGTACAAATGGCCTCAAAAGGCTATTCGGGGCTTGAGCAAAACTATGCAAAATTACTTCTATCTAATATCTAGTAACTAGATATTATCCATGATGAGCCTTTTTTTTTTACCGTAAGTACTTATCACAAATTTTTAATGCACATTGTGTGCACTTCAGAAAGTAAATAGAAATAATTTCGATTGAAGATTCCGTAATTTGCAGATGAAAATCCCTTAACACAAAATTTTTTGAGCAAGTTCTATTCTATCGTAAGCTTTTTTGCGTGAACGATTCTAACTGCATATGAATTTTCTGCTTCTATTGTTTTAGATTAATCTACAGAAAGTTATTTGTATTATTGTAAATTACTGTGTTTTAAATTACATATCAAATTACAGTGCTTTCTTAAGTGTTTAATATCGGGATAAAAAAATGCGTTATTTAATTTTTAGGGAATCGCTCTATATATTTACGAAGTCTGGAACATAGAAGATTAACAATGCAGATCTTTATCGGAATAAATCATAAGTACACAGTACGCAAATAAAATAAATAAGTAAATAAAGCATATACGCATTTACTTCGACGAAAGAGTACAAAAAAAGGAACTCTAATAAAAGACGACGCGCGCGAAAGGAACGTATACATAAAAACGGAATGATTTGAGCGAAGACCGTGGCTGTGTGTAATTGATCTATGTTCGTTTATTCGTTTAATCGCGCATATTAGGTTATGCGGTAATGATGACGATGGGCAGTAGCAAGTCGAGAAGGTAAGAAATGACTCTTAATCGACTTCCTCGATAGTAGGTCCGGACGCGCCGCCGGCGCTGGGTGCTCCGCCTGGTGCGGCACCGCCGGCTCCGGGGAAGCCGCCTGGCATACCACCGGGCATACCACCGGCGCCCTGATAGAGTTTCGTGACGATCGGATTGCAGATGCCCTCGAGCTCCTTCTGCTTGTGCTCGTACTCCTCCTTGTCGGCGAGCTGATTCGCGTCAAGCCACTTGATGATTTCGTTGCATTTGTCTAAGATCGTCTGCTTGTCTGATGCGCTGATCTTGTCCTTGAGCTTCTCATCCTCGACCGTGCTCTTCATGTTGAAGCAATAGGACTCCAGACCGTTTTTGGCTGCGATCGTCTCCTTCTGCTTCTCGTCCTCGCTGCGGTATTTCTCTGCCTCGTTAACCATCCTCTCGATGTCCTCCTTGCTCAGTCGGCCCTTGTCGTTGGTGATGGTGATCTTGTTCTCCTTGCCGGTGGACTTGTCCACGGCGGAGACGTTAAGAATGCCGTTAGCGTCGATGTCGAACGTGACTTCGATCTGAGGAACTCCGCGAGGTGCCGGTGGGATACCGCTAAGTTCAAACTTGCCCAGCAGATTGTTGTCCTTGGTCATGGCGCGCTCACCCTCGTATACTTGAATCAACACACCCGGCTGGTTGTCCGCATAAGTCGTGAAGGTTTGAGTCTGCTTCGTCGGGATGGTGGTGTTCCTCTTAATGAGCGCAGTCATGACACCACCAGCAGTTTCGATACCCAGAGAAAGCGGAGTGACATCGAGCAAGAGCAGGTCTTGAACTTCCTCGGATTTGTCGCCGTGCAAGATGGCCGCCTGTACGGCAGCACCGTACGCCACAGCCTCATCGGGATTGATGGATTTGTTAAGCTCCTTGCCGTTGAAGAAGTCCTGCAGAAGCTTCTGGATCTTGGGGATACGCGTGGAACCGCCGACAAGGACAATGTCGTGAATCTGGGCCTTGTCCATCTTGGCATCGCGCAACGACTTTTCAACAGGTTCGAGAGTGCCGCGGAAAAGATCGGCGCACAGCTCCTCGAAGCGCGCCCGGGTGATGGAGGTGTAAAAGTCGATTCCCTCGTATAGTGAATCGATCTCGATGCTGGCTTGCGTGGACGACGACAGAGTACGCTTGGCCCGCTCGCAGGCCGTGCGCAAGCGACGTAGGGCGCGCTTGTTCGACGTTAGATCCTTTTTGTACTTGCGCTTAAACTCTTGCACAAAGTGATTGACCATACGATTGTCGAAGTCCTCACCACCCAGATGAGTGTCGCCGGCTGTTGATTTGACCTCGAAGATGCCGTCTTCGATGGTCAAGATCGACACGTCGAAAGTGCCGCCACCGAGATCAAAGATTAGGACGTTTCTCTCGCCGGTGGCCTTCTTATCGAGACCGTACGCGATAGCGGCGGCGGTGGGCTCGTTGATGATACGCAACACGTTCAAGCCCGAGATGGTACCAGCGTCCTTGGTTGCCTGACGCTGCGAGTCGTTGAAGTAAGCGGGGACGGTGATCACGGCATTGGTAACGGTCTTGCCCAGGTATGCTTCTGCAGTCTCCTTCATCTTTACCAAAACCATCGAACTCACTTCTTCGGGGAAGAAAGTCTTCGTCTCTCCTTTATACTGTACTTGGATTTTTGGTTTGCTACTATCGTTTACTACAGTGAAGGGCCAATGTTTCATGTCAGCCTGAATGGTCGGATCCTCAAAGCGACGTCCAATCAGTCTCTTGGCATCTAAAATGTTTAAAATGAGAAAATAAAGTTAGTAATCTTGAAGATCTTGTAATTAATGTTTTATAAAATATGAGAATGAACTTGATTAAATATCACAATATCTTTACGTTCATTTAGTCAAAATAAATCTTAACTTATTTATGTATATTTATCAAGAGACTAAATTATTACTTGTTTATCAAATAAATATGTGTGCCCTTTTTCAAATAATAGTGCAAGATTGATAACATAATGTAATGTTAAAATATTTCATGTACATGACTATATCAATTTTAGTCATGTTAATCCTTACAGATCACATATATCATTTTAAGTCTATCGATGTTTTAATAATAGAATATCTCGAAAACCTTAATCGGTAAAAAAGTGCTTAAAATTCATTTTTTAATTTTTGTTGTATATAATCATTTTCTACAATGTCAAAAAATATACATAAATTTTTAAGTTTTTTCAACCTCATTAAGGCAACTAAATCTGTAACAAAATATTATGACCCACATGTGACCAACAGAGCAAAAAAAAAAAAAAAAAGTGACTTACAAGAGTTAATCAATAAAATGCGCCATTAATAAATTAAATTTTATACATACAACATATATAAGATGAAATACTTTTACATTGATATCGAGTTTATCCGATTCCCGAGAATTTGCCGAGTCATGATTTAATTTGCTAACGTAATTAACATTTCCGCATACAGCAAGCGAGCGAGCGAGCGAGCGAGAGAGCGAGAGCGAGAGCGAGAGCGAGAGAGAGAGAGAGAGAGAGAGAGAGAGAGAGAGAGAGAGCGAACGAGGAGGAAGAGGCAGCAACTTACCGAAAATGGTGTTGTTGGGATTCATGGCAACTTGATTCTTGGCGGCGTCGCCGATGAGACGTTCAGTCTCCGTGAAGGCCACATAGCTGGGCGTCGTGCGGTTTCCTTGATCGTTGGCGATGATCTCGACCTTGCCGTGCTGGAAGACTCCGACACAGGAGTAGGTCGTGCCAAGATCAATACCAACTGCGGGTGCCTTCGCCGCCATTTTTTCTCTTCGATTCTGCAAGACACGAGGACAAGATTTCCGTGAGAGAACGCCAAAAGATGAGAAACGCGCGGCGAAAAAAAAAAAGAAAAAGAGAAGAAGAAAAAAATCAGACACCCTCGATCGTGAAAGAGAGAAACACAATACCTTTTGAGTTTTCTGCGCTTCGATAAAAGTTCACACTTCCGTGTAATTAGGACAGCAAAGAAGTTCTTCGTTTGACGATTCGCAACGTGAGTAACCAAGTCCGCGCCCACGAGCTGTATATATAATGCCCGATGGGTTCTGGAATGTTCTCACGGCGCAGGAACTAAAAGCGCCGACCAATCGCAGCGCCGGATTCCGTTCGAGCCTGACGCGCGATAGGCCGAGCGTCATCGATCCACGGGGCGTCCTCTCCCTCCCTTTCTCTTCCCCATCACTGCGGGAATCAATCGAGCGTCCGTGTCCGTACATAAATGCCGTTCATCGATCAGAAATAAATTCCTGACCTCGCGACGAAACGAATTCACACGATTCGCCGGAATTCAGAATAATTCTTGGACGATCGGACGTCATATGTGTGATCGTGACGGACACGTGGAAAGTCCATCAGCGGGGGAATCCGACGCTGGAACAACGGAAGTCGAACGAAATATGGAAGATGGAAGGATGGAGAATGTTCGCGGGCCTGATTCTAGAAACGCGTAGTACATTCTCGCGCGTGCGCGAAGCGAGCGTCCAAGGTTCCATGGCACACACGCGTGTTTGTGACGTCATGGTAAATTTATCGCGCGAGGAGATCAATTCTTTTCCCGCGCGCGTTTTCTGAGAGAGAATTCACGTAGGTTACGGAGCATTTTTATTTCGACAGAACATCGATGGAATATATTAATGCGAGAAAGAGAGAGAGAGAGAGGAAACGAGCCCTTCGTAGACTTTATCTATTTGCATGATTGAATCTTGTACAATTAATAACGACTAATGATTAGAGTGCAGATTATATTTTGTGGGCGGAAAATTATATATGCACGCATGACGTATTAGATGCATGTGGTTCTGGGTAACAACGAGAAATAAAAGAAAAAAAGATTCCACTACGCGATTATATAATGTTGGTAAGTTCGATTTTTCAAGCTACAGCGACAAATACATGCGACTATTATGCCCGGTTTCTTCATATCTCCCGACAGTTATCTCCCAGATAAAGATGTACGTCGGATGACCCGATTGGTCGATTCTGCGAGATATTTGCCGGATAAAGTTATCGAGAACTTATCTAGAAGTGAAGAAACCGGGCATCAGATACACGTGTAGTTCTGGAAACCTCGAGAAAGAGAGAGAATCCAATACTGTTCATGATATAATTGGCAGGATGTCTGTTTGATTTTCCAAGTCACGGCAGCAATTTATTACAATTATATAAATCAAATATAGAAATCGTTTCTCTTTATATATGCATAGAAATTGCATTATTTTTAATGGGCGACAATTTTCAGAGAATTTTGTACATTATTTATTGTAAAAAAAAATTATTATTTTTTTTTAAATAGATTAAGATCTCATAAAATTACACGGTCTTATACTGATTAAATCGATATCTACATTCTAGCCATCTTAGACAGACCAGGAACATTTACCGCATGGAAAATAATCGGCGGTCTGAAAAAATTATACACGTGTGAGTCATACGTTCCTTGTGTAAAGGCATGTACGAGCGATTTTATGTTCATCGCATGATATCACGGACACACGCGTCAAGTTTATTGCGTTCGCATGGAAAAAACTTACAAGTGCAATTCATGCGGTCGATATAAGGATAAACACAACCGTTTGAGATTCTCGAACGTTCAGCGAAACAATAGAAAGTCTTTTTTATCAGATATTCCTACCGTATATTGGAAAAACATAATGTATAGAAGAAATTAAACACGCGCGAAGACACGAGAGGACTTTATGATCATCTTCAGTAAAGTAAAATTTTTACATTAATAAAAAATATTTAAATTACAACGAAATTAATTGCGTGGAAATGACTCACTCACTCACTCTCTCTCTCTCTCTCTCTCTCTCTCTCTCTCTCTCTCTATTTCAAGTCAAAAAAAAATCACAAGTCATTGATGACGCATTTATTCACAGTAGAATTAGCGAATTATATTCTTACATCAACGCTTATCTCGAAAAAACTGGTTATAATCTACCATTTGAAACGTATGTTTTATATCGGTAATATGTACATTTTCACAGAGGGAGATAAGAAATAATGCGATGTCGATCAATATGAAAAAGTTAAAGAGAAACAAAGTATGAAAAGAAAAGGTAGAAAACAAATGCTTTTTTTTTCTCTCTGTCAAGATGTTATGGTTGGAAATATAACTTAAAAAGAGAGAGAAGAGATTCGTCAATCCAATGTTAATTTATTCATATATTTTTAATGGAATATTTTACTGTATATAAAATACGTTATTGTGGAAAAAAAGATTGTAATATTTGACGATACATTCTTATTAAATGAACCATCGTAGGTCAAGCTGTGTTGCTAGGCCAGATCAGGCCAGGTGCGTTTAGCAGTAACGGTTTTTAACGTCGGCTCCTTACGAAGCTGCGATACAACAATGTGCCGCAAACGTTTTCTCCTTGGAACAGGCATACACAAATTCAAGCAGGAGGTAACCCACAGAGAGCGAGAGAAAAAAAAGAAAGAGAGAGAAAGAGAGCCGATGGGTCGGTTGTCTCACAATCAGTTAATTTTAACCATAGCGATTTTTCGTCGCTTTATAAATACGCAGAATCAGTTAAACAGGCGCTTTTTCATAGTTTTCATGCGAGGGAAATAGCTTTCTCAAAGAGAAATTCAATTTATATAAATACAACGGTTTATGTGAATATAAAAATAATGGAATTTTTTACCAAGTGATATGTGAAACATCGTTAAAATATTCTGAAAATATCAAATACACACACATTTACGAAAGCTATGTGAAATAATGACTCTGTGATATTATCGAAATGATCCAATGATTAATCGACGAAATAGTTCATTTTCAGAATAACATTTGTCGTTCGTAATTATATTTATAAAAAATCCTCTCTTCCATTTCTTTTTCTTTTCTTTTCATATATATCTGTCCTTTTTTAGGGGATAGGCATATATATATACATATATAGTATCGCTCTTTTTCTTTCTTATCCCTTCTTCTAACGCTAACATTCCATTCGGCTTTCACGGAAACTTTCAAAAACTGCTGTTGATATTTTCGGTTATTTCGTCATGGAAAGTTTTTTAATAATTCATTACAATTAAATTATTTAATCTACTTTATGATTGAAACAAAATCTTTTGTTAAATTGATCTTATATTTTGTTTTATCCGAAATCTTTCGTTTATATTCTAGTAAGAAAGAGACAATAATAAGTCGGCTCGTCCTTGTTTTTTCTGTCTCTCTTTTTCGCTCGTTGATCACATTCAGATGCCCACGTGTTCCTTTCAATAATATCCAAGGTGTTTCCGAATCTTTAATCTCTTTGTTTCGAACGGAAGCAAATTATTTGACTGTCTTCGCAAGAATTGGAGACAAATTCTCAACAACTATTAGTGCTTAATTTTTCCTTAATTTTAAAACTAATTTTTTTAGTACAAATTCAATTTGACGATCTCTTTTTTTCATTATATATTTTATAATTTTTAAACTTAATTAGTAAATATATCAAATTGAGATTCTATTAAATCAAAATTTGTCGTGGAATATTACACATACAAAAGTGCATGCGTAAAATCAAATGTGCATCATGATGCGGAAAATACATATTTTCATAAATATACGTCACGCGAAATATTTTTGATTTTCATTGAGACTTTGCTGTCACTGAAAATAAGCGCGAAGACCTCGCGAATAAATATAGCAGCGATATAATATAAGACTGTAGAGATTTATTTTGAACGGGCACAAATTCGTTGTGTCGCTTGTAAATTATTAGTAATAGATTCGATGAACAGAAAACAGATGTTGCGATAGGATGAGCGTGACGTAATCTATAAAAAAAAATAAGGCCAAGATGTCTCTTTGTTGCTCGAATTTCTCACATTTCAACGTCACAAAAGCGAAATTTTTTAACTCACATTATCCATCGATTATCAGATCGATAACAAGCTTACATTGAAATGTAGAAGTAAAAATAAAATACAAGTATTGATACAAGCAAATATATATATATATATATATACTCGGTAAATCGTTCTTCAATTTATCCCTTATATCCAAGGCGATATCCGTAATAGCGAGTTGCAGTTGCCGTCGCAGCGAGATCCCAAATCCATTCTCCAC